AATGACTTGGCGAATGTTCTCACCCAGTGCTGAACAAAACAATGATGCAGTATCTGGGCCAGGACCCTCCTCACTTCTATACTGAGTCCATTCTTTACAATACACACTTAACCCTAGACATTTTTAAAGTTCATTGCTAATTTTTCTGATAGAGATCTACTGTTTTAGAAACCCTGCAATAGCCTTGATGATTCTCTCAACTCTCCAAACCTAAATAAGAAATGCTCTCTATCAATTTTTTTTAAAATTTGCTATAGGGGACATACAGTTGCCAGAGAGAGAGAGAGAAAGGGAAAGTGAGAAATCATTCCCCATTAGTGATGACCACAACAAAACCCCTTCTCCTCCATCCTCCTCTTGGAGTTTTAGACATACACATGTACCCAGCATGTTTTTCAGGCTGCCAAGTCCAGGACTCGAACCACTCTGTCAGCTATGTGGAATCCAGTCACCCCAACCACAACACTACCAGCTAAAGATTTCTCACACCTCTCCTCTTGCAGCACTCCCCTATTTGAGGTACCCCCTGTTTTCAGTTGGATTAAGGTAAAAGCCTTCTAACTGGTCTCTATACTCCCAGTCATTTCCTCCTCTTTTTCCTTCACACATCACTACAGTGTGCTACTGACATGGCTTTCCAACGATCTCCCTGCCCCCCTTCCGACCTTTCTGCTCCAGTTCAGGGTTCTTCATGGACACGTATGGTCCTGTATGATCTTTGCCCTGCCAATTACTTCCGCCTCATCCCTCAACATCCCTTCCTTGGACCTTCCACTCAGCAACTCCCTGTCATGTCCCACTGTCCTCACATCTCCGTGCTTTTATCTGTGACCCCACAGGCTGAACCACCCCTACTCCTCAGCCTTGGGAGCAAGTCCTACTCACACTTCAAGACAGCACCACTCAGCTATTGCTATTCTAAAACATCTCTTCTATTCTTCCTCACTTCCTCTCCTCTAATTTCTGGGGTCTGCGTGGATTCAATTATTCACTTATTCAATCAACAAATATTTATTGACTACTTACCATCTGATTGGCACTAGCACATATTAGGCAAAGATGTGTTGAATGAATGAACATAGACATAGTGATGATTTGAAAGAAAGCCAAAGTCCCTGCTTGCACAAAAGTGAGAATTCTCACAAGACTATAAGTAGCAGCATTCTGTAGTAGACGTAGCACGCTTAGATATTATTTTAATGTATCTGTCCCCATATCATATTGTGAATTCCTGAAGTCCAGGATATTGTTTTCTTTATAAATCCTTAGTACTTAGCAAACTAAAAGTAACCACTCAATAAAATACCTGTGCAGAGAGTGAAGAAAACTATTTTACATTTAAGTTTATAAGCTGCAGAATATTTATGTAAATATTGCCTTAAGTAAATTGAAGCTTCTTTTAAAGTGTTTTTTAAAAGGGAACTAATGTTAAACCAGCATAATTTAATAAGACAGAAAAAGAAACAAGATTCTAGTTAGTATTTTAAAAAAGAAATCCAATATACAGTGATGGCAAAGTCCAAACGTTCCCAACTCACTACTCTTTAATTGGAGGAAAAAAAAAAAAAGGAAGAAACAAAACTGGGACCCAACAGTGGCTCAGCAGCAAAGCAAGACACTCTGCAAGGCAATCTCACAGGGGAAGAGTCCCTGCTCAAGAGACTCCCCAGAGTACGCCAGGCACACACTCACCCACGATCCAGGGCTGCTGAAGCAAGGGGTGTATGGTGGTGTCAAGACCTGTTGGGTAGTGCACACGCATGTGCCCTCACACTCACTCTCTCAAGAAATCAGTCACTAAATAAACTTTTAAGAAATCTAATGACATAATAAATATTAGATAACATGTATAAATCTTAAAGATACCCAAAATATCAAGAAAAAGTAAAACAAAAATGCCAAGTTTCATTAACTCTAACAAACTGTAAGTTCCTTGGTCTTGCTCTTTTAATTAGTCTTCATTCTTTAAAGAGATGCATCCCTGCTCCCCCAAAACATACTTCTAGTGTAAATTTTACTTAACATTTTCATACACATAAAACCATCAATGGCCTGCTTCTCCAATATCTCTGGATAAAATCAGGCGAACACATACAAGCACTACTCAGTCCAGATGGGGGAGGGGCTGGCATAGTCCTCTGGACTTTAGAGTAGGCTTAATAGCTTCCCCAGCCAAAGCAACCCTTCCAAAGGGGAATTTTGATATGACCCGTTTTAGAATTTTACCGTAGGGTGCATGTGCTCACTGGAGAGAGACAGAAATAGAGAAAAAGTGAGAAATCAGCTTCCAGGGTGGATGGCCACACCACAACCCCTTCTCCGACATTCTCATCTGGGCATTTTGGGCATGCACACACATGTACCCAGGGGGATTTTCAAGCCACTGGATCCAGGACTCAAACTGCGGAGTCAGCCACGTGGGAGTCCAGTGCCTTAGTGACCACACCACCTGCTGGCACTGATCTTAGCCAATTTTAAAACTTGAACAACAGAGCCAACAGGACTTTGCCCTTCCAAGAGTTTCAATAAAGCTAGCTGCTAACATAACTGTGGGAAGAAAAGCTTGCACCCACACAGAAGAAGACAGCAATCTAAATGTCAACTGTCCGTGAATGGGGAAAGTGGGAGTGGGGGTGGGGTGGTTTTATTTCCCAGTGCCAACAGCGCATCAGGTGTCTCCCCCTATTTTCCCAGTTCTCCTAAAAGACAGCTTTCCAATTATCTGAAATGTGTAAAACCCAACTTTTACTTTCCTAAAGGCTGCAACATTAGTGTCCTACATAAAGAAGACCAAACCAATGTCTGCCATCATGCAGAGTCTACACAGCAGAGAGAAGAACAGCAGCAAAAGCACCCAGGTGGCGTGGTGGTTACGGTGCTGGATACACCCACATGGCTGACTGAAGTTTGGTCCCGGACCTCGTAGCTTGCTTTCTCACTTTCCTTTTTTCTCTCTCTCTGGTCAAATTAAAATAAACGAATGAATAAATAAAATTAAATAATTCTTTTCCTTAAAAAAAAAAAAAAAAAGCCCAAAACTCACGGCAGAACAAATTAACATTCCTGGGTTCTGAAGACGTCACCTCTCCAGCCAGGGACCACAGGACTAAGGTAGGCAGAAGGCTCAAACCACATTGTTCCAAGTCAGAGGGAAGTGGGACACAGAACCTGAAGCCCTAACACCTATATGGAATGTACACATAGGACGAGAACAGGCAGAAAAACATCCTCAAACTTCTGAACATGAAGGGCAGGTGACAGAATTACAGTCATATTTTCCAGAAGAAACGGGTTCATTATACACTGACTTCCTTTTATTTTCTCTATGTGCACCTGGACATGGGTTACACCTCAAAGAAACAGAAAGATACAAAGAGAACAGAAACTGACCCTTTTCTGATCACATTTCAATGATTCCCAACTGCCAGCTGAATCAGGAAGGTGCCACTTGCGCTCACGTTCAAGCACTCCATATGTGGTCAGATTTTCCCTCTCCCATGAATTCCCACTTGTGTTGTGACCAGGACTAAAGGTCCTAGGAAGGTATATGTGGATTTCTAAGAAGGCTGATGAGGGGGCTGAGCAGTTACGGGACTCCAGGCTTCAACCAGAGCACCCGCACTTGTACCCAGCAAGAGGAAATTGTTTAGTGAATTATGCTGATTAAAGGAGGCAGGAGGACGAGTTAGTGGCAAGGTGGTTCAGGCAGTCAGATCCCACATGGTCGACTGCAAGATACGCATCTTGGACTCGTGGCCTGAACACCTTGCAGGGTACGGTACGTGTGCATGCCTCCCCAAAATCCCAAAGGGAGGGAACAAGAGAAGAGAAAGGATTGCAGCATGACTCTGCCACAAGGGGAGTGCTTGCTGGCTCCTCGTCTCTCTGCCATGAGTATATGCACCCTCTGGCAAACTAAAAAGAAAAAAATCAGAAAAAATAGGTAGATAGAAAGATATTATTCAGCCATTGAAATTATACTTCAGAAAAATATTTGGAGGTATAAGAAAATATTCGTGATGTTAATACTATATATAGCATTATCCAAATTATTTTTTAAGAGGTTTTTGTATATTTGTTTGTTTGTTTGTTTGCCTTAGGCTCCATGCACTAGCCAAAGAGAGGGGGGGAGAGAGAGCTGGAGACAGTGAGAGGGAAAGTCAGAAACAGTCCCCATCTCCTCCATTCTCCTCTCAGAATTTTGGGCATGCACACACACATGACCAGCGTGATTTTGAAATCACCAGGTCTGGGACTCAAAACGCAGTTGGCCATGTGGGAGTCCAGCAACATAACCACTACACCATCTGCTGGTCCCTCAAATTCTTAAATATATAATAAAACTACACACACACACACACACACACACACACACACACAAAACCTACAAGAAAGCACACCCCAGTGTAAACTGTGCTTATATAAAAAAGACAGATTTATGGGTGCTTCTAAATTTTTCTAATAGTAATCCAAAAAAAAGAAAAGAAATTTTTTTGCAATATTTTCTTTCAAAAAAAAAAAAAAAAAGATTTGCTCTTATAAAAATGATTCTCCCAAGATCCTTGCTACTTTTTTCCTGGTCTGAAGTCCAGAAAATGATTGATCAAGCCTTACTCACCTTTGCTGGAATCCTCCCAGACTAACACCTGGTACCTGCCAGCAGGAGAAGGAAACAGGCCAGGCTGTAGGCCCCAGAGGTTTCAAAGATAATAAAACCAAAACAAGGGGAGAAAAAGCGAGCACATTGCATCCCTCTGGGCACGACACATGTGCATTTGTCAGTGATCTTTACTTCAATATTTCTGAAGTTGCTTGCCTTAAAGTCCCTGGTGGTTAACCTTAACAAATCGTCAGCTACTGACAAAAGTGAAGAGAATCTAAGCAAAAAGAACATGGGTGTTATTAACACTAAAGTGGGCATGCATGCTGCTGTACGTGCTTTTCCCAGACCTCAGGGATTTCCCTGTCGGGAACGAATGTCTCCGAACTTTACCACTCACCAGGTGCTTCGCCTTCGCTCGCTCCTCCTCGCTTGAGATCCTCTCTCGAAGGATGGCTCTGGTTAACTGCTCGTTGGCCGCAGCTCGCTCTCGCTCCAGCTCTTTGCCTTGCTTTAGTCTGTAAAGATAAGGGAGATCTAACTTTAAAAACTATTGTATTAGCTGACATTATTTTTGGTCAAATGAAATAATTAAATTTAAAAAATAGCCAAAATGTCAATAGCTGAAGTAATCCAGACCCACAATCTATCAAAAGCAGGTATGGAGGTAAATCCCCATGCAACCTCTACCTGAGCATTTGAGAATCACAGAATATGAAAACATGAAGAGGCTTATTAATTTGGCTGGCAAACAGATTTATGTTTTATAAAGCTCTTCTACGTACAGGTGAAACCTACCCACCTAAAAACCCCGTCGCAGGTGCCTCCGTGGACCCTCTGGAAATGTAACTAGTGATCCTAATGAACAAGTCATTTATGTGACAAATACTCGAAGGCAACCTCAAAATCGATTGGATTCAACTATGTACTGAATCCACACCAGGCAGTGTGCTAAGCCTTGAGGATACAGTGGTGAACAAGAACCACGGGCCCCTGGCTCTAGGACCTTACATTCCAGCAAATAAAGACATCTTTTCTCCCAGTATATTATCCCCATTTTCGAACAATCCTCATGCAAATATGGCATACCTTTCAACGGCAGGGCTCCTCACTTCTGGAATGACTAAGTTTGTCCCTTAGCTGCAAACTAAACCCAACACTCTTGACACGCTCTAGCAAAATAAGACGGCAGAAGCTTACCCCCCCAGATCTGCAAACAATACTAATTCTATTAATGAAGCATAAGATTGTATTAGGTTTATCAGTAGCCTCATCACACAATTAGATCATATTAAGTTACAATCCACTAAAACCCTTCATTGTACATGATAAAGATAAATTGCTTTGGCACCGATTTTTGCCATAATGCCTGGCACATAAAGGCATTCAGTAATCACTGAATGGGAGAACATTTCAGCCTAATCTCATGGACAGAGATTTTGTGATTGCCTTTTCATCTTTGAGAGAATAACCCCTCTATACCATTATATCCCTGAAGGGATAAGCTATGCTTTTATAAGGAAAAGGTAAATTGTTACGTTGGGGTGTGAGTGAAATCTCTAAGTGTGAATGATGAGCACCGAATTCCACTTGTTAGTCTATCGAATTTTAGTTTTAAAAATATTATTGAAAAGAACTAAAGATAACCAAATTTTTCATTATTATTTTAAACTGGCACACCAACCTGATTCTCTGGAATTCTCAGAAATCAATTATAACTGATGAAAACTGCCTTGCAAAATATATTCCAATATTATAATGCTTTTCCTATAAAAATTACAACTATACGGTTTTTGTCTTGAATAAAGAATACAAACAAATTAAAACCTGCACTTCGAAATTCTCTAATGAAAAAGCAGCTGTTAGGAAAATTCCTAAACAACAAGCACAACGAGGCTCATATAAATCAATTTTTTCTAAATTATTCCACAAAGGCTATGGAACAAATTCAATAACATCAATGATATCAATACATTAACTCCCCTGGGCATACATAATTTGTAAGAGAGCAGTGATAGTTAGAAATCTTGTTGTTCCCCCAGAGCAGGAGTTCAAAGAGTAGGGTCCACAAACCAGCAACAGTAGCATCACCTGAGAACTTGTTAGAAATGCAAATCCTTGTGGTCAGCATAGCGTACTGGTTAAGGCACTGGACTCCCACATGGTCAACCATGGTTCAAGTCTTGGACCTGGAAGCTTAAAACTCACACCAGGAACATGGGCATGCGAGGCCAAAATCCTGAGAGGAGAATGGAGGAGAAGGCAAGGCTATCCCCCCCGGGGGTGAATTCTCAGACACAACCACACACCTGCTGACTCGGAAACATTGAGGGTAATGTCTAACATACTGTCTTTTTATTAGCCCGTATACTCATGAATGTGAAAGCTTAAAAGCCACAGCCCCTGTGGGAGGCTGCGCACCAGCGAATAAAGCAAACAATTACACAATGCCAAAGGCCATGATTGGCTCCCCTTCAAAAACCTCACCTTCAGAACCCTACTCTGATTGGCTACTTCCCATAAAGGCCACAATTGGTTCCCTTCAAAAAAACCTGACCTTCGAAACCATACTCTGATTGGCCACTTCCCATAGCAAATCGGTGAGCTTAGAATCCCTCAGATTTGCATAATCTGGCACCTCATGATTGGTCCACAGAATCAACCAATCATAACCTACCTTTTACAATCCTTCATTCAACCAATCACTGACCACCAGCATGTATATAACCACGACCCCTGGCCCACAATCTTCAGACTACCAGGAAGACAACACAGACGACCAGGGAGACGACCCTGAAGACCCTGAAGAGTTGACACGGCGTCGTCTCCAGACGACCCTGAAGAGCTGTGACACTGCGTCATCTCCATGCTGCTCACAATAGACGACGCAACCCTGAAGAGTTGTAACACTGCATCGTGTCCGTGCTGTACCAATCTGCCCACAATAAACGGACGACCCTGAAGACACTGTGTCATATCCGTGCTGTAACACTACACTGCTTGTCCTGGCTCTCACTCCTTCCCTCAAGAAACCTGTTCGACTGTCCCCCCGGGTCGGGACAAGCCCCAATTACCAAAATGTACTTTCACCCAAATAACACCCACAGAGGAACCAGCAGTTAGTGTAATGGTCATGTCACTTAACTCCCAAGTAGCCGACCATGGTTTGAGTCCCAGACCCAGTGGCTTAAACTCACACCGGGTGTGTGTGCCCAAGATCTCGAGAGGAGAATGGAGGAGAAGGGACTGTGGCGTGGCCATCACCCCTGGGGGGTGATTTCTCGCTTTCTATCTCTCTGTCTCTGTCTTTCTGGCGAGCGCGTGTGCCCTATAGCAAAAATCTCTCAAAATAAATAAGTAAATAAATAAAATAACACCCACAGATATATAAATACAAAGTAACATAAAAAATGAAGTAGTTGGGCCAGCCCTACATCCTAGTGGTTAAGCAAGCTAGATTCCACCTGGAACTACCATGGTTCAAATCTTGGTCCCAGTGGCCTGAAAAACATACCAGGCACATGTGCATGTGTCCCTAAAATATCAACATTATGAAAAAATGGAGGAAAAGGAATTATGGCCTGACCATGCTCCACTAGAGGGTAGTTTCTTCCTCTATGTCCCTCTGTTTCTCTCTGACGAGTACATGTACCCTCTAGCAACTGCTGAGATTATTATGGACATATTATCAACAAGAGGAAAACATTATCTCTTTTATATATGTGGTAGAAACTAAAGCCAACAATAAAAATTCTATCAGTACAGATCACTACCATTTGCCAAGCACTGTGACATTATATACTTAAATAGAACTTTAAAAAAAAAAAAAACTTTATTCTATGAACATACAATGAATTCTATACAACTGGATTTTTCTTTCATATTTATTCCAAGTGGTTTCTCAAATTTTAAAGTATCACTTATTTTAATAACAACTACTTCTTTTACTGAGTTTAATTTTATGTGGCATAACTTTTACATACAAATGGAGTTAGAAGGGGTTGAACTTTAAGAATTACAGAATTATATAAGGTTTTGGTAAATTAATGCAAGAGAAGCAAAAATATAAACACAAAGGCTTTTAATGTTATAATAAAAATAAAGCTTGCTTATTTGGTACAGATGCACACATTGCAGAACTGAACTCCTAGGTCTACATGCAGGCTCCACACTTAGGAGCTGAGTAAGTACTTTAGCTAGCCTCCTGAGTCTGTCATTCTCACGGGTAGAATGCGGTGGTATAATAGTTGCCTCACAGGGCTCTACACAAACACGGCACTTAGCACAATGCCCATAATACAAGCGCTTCTCAACAAGTGTTAGGTGAGCAGGAGTGCCCACCGTGGATAAAGAACACAGGGAAAGCAATGGTTTCTCTGAAATGAAGAAATACCTACCATCTCCAAACTTCACTAAATACATTGTGTCCACATAAAAGCTCTATCTTCTTTATGTTCTTTTCCAATTTTTTGCCAATAAGAAATTCTCCTTTACTTTTATTATCTTCAAGGTCTAAAATTCAAAAATGACTTACTGGCTCCGGCAGACCTACCCATTTATATACTTCTTTCTTCCTTTCTTTCCCACTTGCCTATTAGCTTCACAAAGGCAGGAACTTGGTCCATTTCATTCACTGCCATATGGCCAGTTCTTGAACAGTGCCTGCTATATAGTAAGCACTCAACATAAACCTGCTGAATGTATGCATGCGTGCATGCATGCATGAAAAGGTGGCATGTTTCCAACCACAGACACAAATGGAAAACTAACTGCAGAAAATAGGAGGCTGAGAATTCAAGAAACAATTAGAGAAGCTGAACTCTACAAAGGCCTTGCCACTATGTATGTGGTACACATGTGACATAGTTGAGACTACCCTAACAACCTACAACAGAAGGTACCACCACATTCCGGAACCTCCAGAGCATCAGTACTGTGTTTGACTATGGGATTCAGGGAGATTGTGAGTGATGCAAATCGACTGAAGTCATTCGGTTTTTTTCTTAATAAATTCTGAAAGTTACTTTCTCACTTATCCCTCTAAACAGAACTGCAGAGAGTCAGCCGCATACCACACAAGCTAAGTGCAATGCTTTTAAAACTGGAGTCCACATTTGGTCCCAGTGACTTGAAAATCACACCAGGCATGTGTGTCCAAAATCCTGAAAGGAGGGAGAAATGGAGGAAAAAGGATTACAGTGTGATCACGCCCCACTGGGAGGTACCCCCCACCCCATAGAGTATACGTGCACTCTGACAATTAAAGAAAAAATAAAGTACAACTGCAAAAATTCTTAAATATTGTTAGTTTAACAGACTGTAAATTTTTAAAATAAATTTCTGGGCTAGATGGTGGTGCAGCTGTAAAACAATACATCCTGCAAGGCCAAACTACCGGGTCGTTGAAAAGTCATGACACATGTCTGCACAAAACAGAAAAATGCGTCATGACTTTTCTGACAACCAATATGTGGGAGGATTCCAGGTTCACATCCAGAAACCTCCCTGGATACTCTGG